CTTCATGCTGCGGCATAAATCTAATAAATGCTCCTCCAGATAGTGTATTCCTATTATAGCAGCTGGGTCTTGCTTAGGTAGCCCAGGCTGGCCTTCAACTCTCAATCCTCCTGCCTCGGCCTCCCAAGTATTAGGATTACAGGTGTGTGTCACCACAACCAACTAGCATTTTTTCTTATTATGTATTAAGCACATATTTTGCCATTAAATTTTTTTAATTGGTTGGGTGTGCTGGTGAAGGCAGCATTCAGCAGGCTGAGGCAGGAGGATCACTGACTGCACATTTGAGGCCAGGCTGGGCCACACAGTAAATTCAAGGCCAGCCTGAACTAAATGGTGAGACCCTGTCTAAAAATATAAATAAATAAATATGTTTATTATTTTTTTCAGAAGCACAGCAGATTACAAAGTTAAACTCCCAGGATTAAGATTATTGGGTTAAAAATACAAGCAGTTATATGGTTCTTATAATTTGTTGTCATCACTTTTTTCTGTTTTTCTGTGGTGCTTTGAACATGCTAGTACCGGGGGCTGGGGATTTAGCTCAGCGGCAAAACCGCCTGTCTGGTAAGCGCAAGGTCGTGAGTTCGGTTCCCGGTACTGGAGAAAAAAAAAAAAAAAAAAAAAAAAAAAAACATGCTAGTACCGGTGAGCTACATCCCTACCTCCTGTTGTCATTTTATTTGTTTCGGTACTGGGAATTGAACCCAAGGCCTTTTCATACCTAGCCGTCTTGTTTTTGAGACAGCGTCTTGCTATGTAGCCCAGGTCAGCTTGGCAACTTGGCAAAACCCTGTCCCAAAATTATATTTTAAAATGGGCTACAAATGTAGTTCAGTGCTAGAGCACTTGCCTGGCATATATGAGGTCTGGGCTCAATTTCCAGTACCCACACCCCCAAGATATATACTTTAAATGTTTTAATTGAACTATGCAAATACATACTCTTGCCAAACACTGACAAAAGGTCAAAGTCTTTTGTCTGAAAACTGGTCTGTAGACTGGGTTTTTTTTTTTTTTTTTTTTTTTTTTTTTTGGTCTTTTTGAGATAGGGTCCCGCTATACAGTTCAGGTTGGCCTTGAACTCACTTTGTGGCCCAGGCTGGCCTCAAACTTGCAATGATACTCCTGCCTCAGCCTCCCAAGTGCTGTGATTACCGGAGTGTGCCATCACGGTCGTTTGTGGAACTGTGTCAATATCACCTTTTAACAAAAATCCCAAGTATGACCTACTCTAGTTTGGGTTCTTTTAAAGTAGAGCAAAAACTTAAGATCCTTGCAAAGGAACCTCTGTATAGAATGCTTTCAGATTTTTAAAATGTCTTCCTACATATATATATATATATATGTATATTTGTCTTTTTGAGACGGGCTCGCTATGCAGTTCAGGCTGCCCTTGAGCTCACTTTGTAGCCCAGGTTGGTCTCAAAATCACAGTGATCCTCCTGCTTCAGCCTCCCGAGTGCTGGGATTACAGGCGTGTGCCTCCACGCCCGGCTGAGACTCTTAAAAGGCAAAATAGCTGATAGTACGTATCTGTGTGTTGCGATAGTTAGTGAAAACCTGTGTGATATTTAATACTTTTGCTGAGTATGTGATGGTTTATTCATTGCTGATGTTTAGTAAAACAATGTGATGAAGAGATCTTCTCAAAATTGTACAGTATGAATACTGTACATAAAATGGTATCATGCATGTTATTGTATTATTTATGCACATCTTTAGATTAATTGTAAATACACTCGGGCCTATACTGAAAAGGAAGTATCTATATAGGGTGGATACTATGGTCACAAGAAGTTGGAATAAATTAATGGTAGTTTATACATAATACACACATACAGCAGAATATTACATAAAGTGAGGTTCAGATACTGGAATAAAAAAACAGAATCTTTAATCTTGCCTCAGAAATTAAAAAAAAAAAAATCTTGCCTCAGGACAGTAATTGTTTATTCATCAAATACCTAATAAGCTTGTATTATATGCCAGGCCTTCTCATAGGCACTAAGAATTCAGTGGTGAACCCACAAACACGGATCCCTCATTTCCACTGGCCATGGTGGCACTCGCCTGTAATCCCAGCACTGGGGAGGCTGAGGCAGGAGGAATGTTTTGAGCTCGAGGAATGTTTTGAGCTCGAGACATCTTGGGCTATAAAGTGAGCTCAAGGTCAGCCTGAACTGCATAGTGAGATCCTGTCTCCAAAAGAAAAAAAAAAAAAAAAAAAAAAAAAAAAAAAAAGATCCCTCATACGCTAAAGCTCAATAATTCAGGAAAGAGCTAAAAAAACCCAAAACCCCTCAAAACTAAGTAATGATGAAAACCTCAAGACTCAGGTTTTCCTAAAATGATCATAAACTATATATACTTCTAAATAAGGAATAACAACTAAAGTAATAGATCACTTTTCTCCAATCCAGCTAGGTTTCTATCAGAAACCAGTTTGACAGTTCTTTACAAGGTTAAACAAGCTGGTTGTGGTGGTCCATGCCTGTAATCCCAGCACTGGGGAGGCTGAGGCAGGAGGATCGCTGTGAATACAAGGCCAGCCTGCACATTACAAAGCAAGACCTTCTAGCAAAAAAACAAAAATAATTAATTAATTTAAAAAAGGTTGCTGGGGATATATTTCATTGGTACTGTGCCTGCCTAGCAAGTGTGAGGTCACGAATTGGATTCCCGGTACAAAATAAAACAAAACAAAATACCAAAAGGATGAAATAAAGAAGAAAGAAAAAGAAAGATAAAGAAAGAAAGAGAGAGAAAAAGAAAGAAAGAGAAAGAAAGAAAGAAAGAAAGGTAGATAGATAGATAGATAGATAGATAGATAGATTGAAGCCGGGCGTGGTGGTGCAAGAAAGAAAGAAAGAAAGAAAGAAAGGTTGAAGACGGGCGTGGTGGTGCACGCCTATATTCGCAGCACTTGGGAGGCTGAGGCAGGAGGATTGTTGTGAGTTCGAGACCAGCCTGGGCTACAAAGTGAGCTGAAGCCCAGTGAACTGCACAGCGAGACCCTGTCTCAAAAAGACAAAGAAGAAAAAAAAAGACTAACTAGGGTATATGAATTATGTCCAAAAAACTATTATTTTTATTTTTAATTTTTTTTGTAATTAATTGAACTCAAGACGTTACACTTGTAAGGCAGGCGCTGTGCCACTCAGCTATATTCCCGGCCCAAAACTATTATTTTTATTCATCTTACTGGTGCTGAGATGATCTCTTCATCACACTGTTTTACTAAACACCTAACAATGAATAAATCATTACATACTCAGCAAAAGTATTAAATATCACACAGGTTTGCACTATCGCAACACATAAGTATGTACTGTATTTTCTACTAATATGAAGGCCCAAGCTGCCATCTACAGTTCCTCCCCACGTTCCCACTCGACTCTGCCAGCTGATTTAGAGCAAAGGCGGAAGCTGATTTTAGACAATGGACTGGCAACGGTATCCTTTACGACTTCTTAAAACTTCGTTATAATGTGGGGGGCAAATCATATAAAAGCAAACGAGGAAGGGAAAAAATTGGCTCCCTCTCACAGTAACACATGATAAGGAACCGTAATGATCTGTTCACTCTCGACCAGGACGGGGAAGAGGAGGGGGGCGGAAAATTGCTAATTTTTAATATTCACCACTAGGCCTCAGCGACCTTTCAAAAAGAAAAAGGACGCGAGACAAGACATGCGTCTGCGATCCGAGGCGGAAACCCCGGGCCGATCGGC